TATGTTGATGCTCTGCCTTTTAAATAACTATGATATTTCATAAGGTAGACTTACCGTATCACAGTTCAGCCATTCTCCTGTTCTTGGACATTAGCTCATTTCCAGTATTTGAGTGTTGTAAGTAGTGCTGAGATGAAGGTCCATGCACATAAAGCTTTTTCCTTATTTAGGATTATTTCCTTAGGATTCTCGAAAGTGGAATTACTGGGTCAAAGAGTTTGAACATTTCTAAGGCTCTTGACACACATTGCCAAATTGCTGCACAAAATGATAGAGCTGGTCCGCATTCCCACTAGCAGGGTAATCTGGTGCCTATCCAGCTGCATCTGAAAGTATCCAGCTCCTTGGAATACAGATGAGGAAGCTGAGGCACAGATATGGAACAGGAGTGGTGGTCTGAGGGCATGTAGCTCCCTGGGAGCAGAGCCAGTTCTGGAACCCAGCCTACAGGCTTCCATTTTAGATCTCATAGCTATCCTCAACACATATTCCTATTTTAATAATATTCCTTTTTTCATTGTTAGCTATGTCCTAGTCTCTCTTTTGGGGACAAGGAGAGCAATGTAACTCTGCTGCTTCTGAACCACGTCCACTGCTCTTCCCAAATGTGTGCCGTGGAAAGTGTCTGGGTGTCCAGGGTTGGAGCCTAGTCCTGGCACTGATTTGCACATTCATTTACCCTTCCTGACCTTCTGTTTCCTTACCTGTTAACTGGGAATAGTAATGCCCACCTGTCTGCTTCACGGGGTCATTATGCAAACTAGCTCATGCAAAAGGCACCATGAAACAGTAAGGAACAATGCAAATGAAATGTGCAACTGTGATTATGGTTCAGCCTAAAGTGCTCCTGGGATAGGAGATTCAATGTTAGGACACTGAAGGTCTTGAGTAATTAATTTATAATACTAGTTTGTTTCAGAGGGAATTTGAGGCATCTATCAGAGAGGTATACATCAAGATAAATAAAACTAAGGCAAGTGATGGTGTACAACAGTGTGCATAAAGCTAACGATTTCGTACTGTATCCTTCAAAATTGGTTAAGAAGGTAGATTTCATGTTATGTCTTTTTCACTCCAATAAACAACAGGAAGAGGGAGAGAAGGTGCAACATGAAGATGATGGAGAAGAGACACTCGTTACCCCCTTCAGAAGTCAGAGAGACTATTTTCACTGAAAGGTACAAGTCAGTAAACATACCCAAAGCTCTCTGGACTGCCAGTGTCCAACAGAAATGTAATGTGAGCCATGCGTATACCTGAACATTTTTCTAGTAGCCATGTCTAAGAAAATGATGAGAAACAGGTAAATATGTTTTTAGCACGACATTTTGTTGAACCCAACATATCTAAAGCATTACTGTTTTAACATGTAACCAACATAAAAAATTATCAATGAAATATTTTAGATCTTGACTAAGTCTTTGAAGTCTGGTGTCTATATGACCCTTATAGTACATCTCATTTTAGACTCACCCCATTTCAAGTACTCAACAGCCGCACGCAGGTTGAGACCACTCTCTTGGACAGCTCAGAGCATTTCCAGTGTGGCAGAAGGTCCCAGAGGACAGCGCTGCTTTAGACTTTTACCCTTTCACCTGCCTTGGAAGCTAGGCTGTGGTGTCAAGAAGCCAGGGGGCACAGAGGGCTGGAGGAGACGTAGAGCTGGCTCCCAGCCCTGTCCCTGGGGAATTGTACCAGGCAAGCTGTGGCTCTGGTTCCTAAGGAGTGCCTAGTCTCAGGCAGAAAGCTACATTGCGGGCCCTCTGGGAGCTCCCAGTCTAACAAGGGAGTCTCACAGCCCAGTGAAAGGGAAAGCTCCCCTCTTGAGTTTGCAATGAAGTTAGAAATTTGGAACCCCCCATCGAATGGTCATTTATAGCAACATTGTGGTAGATGTTAGGTAGTTACAGTGACAGACTGTGGTCTGTCTTGTTGGAGAAGATGATTGTGAACCAGAAGGCAAGGATGCGGCAGGAGGGGGAAACGGTGTGAGCAAGGAGATGTGGAGGAACAAGAATGCATGGGACAGAGACACGGCCGGCAAGAATGCCGTGGCGGGGACCTCAACTTGAATTTGGTGTGTGTGGGGGGTGGGGTTGTAAATACTGCAAAGGTTTAGATGTGATCTGATAAGCCAGACCAAGCTATTTTAGGCACTTGGGCTGAGAAGTGATAGGATAAAAATGATATTTGAAGAAGATTATCCCGTGATGGTGTCCATGAGCTGGTTGATGTGGAACAGGGGAGACTGGCCTGGAATCTGGACCTGAGGTGACAAAGATGGATGGTAATAAGGCACATTGGATCCATCTTTGCAAAATCTCAGAGAACTGAGCATCTTCCAGTGTCCGTGTGTCATCTCAGCCTGGGGATCCCCCATGCAGAGCCCCCTAGACCTTAATGGCCTGTGTGACTGGCCTAAGTGGGGACACACCCTAGCCTCTCCTTCACAGCAGAGCTGGGGTACATGGTTCCCAGCCCAAGAGCAGGTGGAACCCTTGGTTTTGGAGGGAAAGGAGCTTTGTTTGAGGTCACTTGGGCCTCCTTGCTGATGAGACCCTCCCTCTGGGTACCAGGAGAGCTGGTTGTCAGGGCAGTGGGCACACATTGCCAGTGCTCTGAGGGAGGAGGGCAGCCGATGGCTGCTTGAGTGCTGGGGTGGCGGAGAACCCCAGACAAGGGGGTGCCTGCACTCCAAGACCCCTAGAGCAGCTTCGTCGGTGCCCGGCGGCTGCCTAGACCTTATGACAGGAAGGTTAGCCCTTAAATTACCCTCCTTACTCTTCTCCTGTCTCCTCCTCTTCTCCCCATTGGCCCCTCTGGGTCATGTCCTCCCCACGCAGTCCCCTTCACTGTTTTATCCCTAAAATGAAACAGAGTTTGAGCCAGAGATATACTTAATTAAGCCCCCTTTTCCTCATCCCTCTTCCCCTCTGGTTTGAAAAGTCCACTCACACAATCAGAGGGGGAGAAATGTTTGAGAGTGGGAAAGATTCTTCGCACAGTACAGAAGAAAGACTGAAGCTAGACATGAGGAAGGACTTCCAGACCTGAGGCTCGAGTGCTGGAGTGGGTGATCCAGTCGTTCCTTTCCTTGGCAGCCTTTGAGCACAGGGGAGACTCCTTCCCCGTGAAATAGGAGAAGAGAGGGGCCTAGTGATTCTGGGGGTTTCTGTGCCTCTCCACATACTCCCACAACGAAGAGTAAGGAAAAAGTCAGGCAAAGCACAGAGGAAATTGTTGGCAGGGCCCCCTTCCCTTCCACCTAGTTCCACCCATTCTTAGGAACACCAGGACAGACAAATTTAGCTCTTCTAAGTTTTAGAGTTTATGGAGAAAAAAAGTAGCATAAAATCCTTATTGGGCAAGGGGGAATTCCTTCCCAGCTGGACCTCCTTTCTCCCTTTCCAATTCTGGGAGATTGAATCTATTTGAGTTTCCCCAAATTGGTGGGAAGATTGAAGGCCGTGTGTGAGGGTGCCCATAGGCATGCATGCCTGCGTGTGCTCAAGAAAGCAGAGCCCCTGGTTTGCTGTGGTGTAGACATGGCTTTTCAAGAACGGCAAAAGTTTACTGAATGCCTGTTACATGCTGAGTGCCGTGCTGTCACTGTAGGGAACCAGGCCACATGCTGTCTGTGGACAGCTTACTGTCTAGCTGAACAGGGGGGCAGTTCAGCCTGGGATGGAGAGGAGCTCAAGGGAAGCCCCAGGCATGGGCCTGCAAGGGTGTGGAGGATTTCAATGGGCAGAGAGGGACTTTGATGGGGAGAGGGGTGGCATTCTGGGGGAACACCTCGGGCAAATGAGGCTGCCAGTGTGAAGGTCAGTGGGCGTATTTAGGGGACAGGAGGCAGACTGGGGTTATGGGGTATGGATGGAGAGATAAGCCATCCTGGGGACACAGGGGACACCATTACCTGCTCTGGATGGCCCAGGGGACATTAGGGCAGATTCCCATCTGGACACGGGGCATTTGTATGATGGGCCCTCTGAGAGTAGAGAAGCCTGTGTCCCTGAGAGCCGGGAGCCCCTCTGCCTGGGGCATGGAAAATAGAGCAACTTTGACTTAAAAAGTGAACTTTGCACAGTGACTCCCCCCTCACACCAGGACTCTTGGGGAACAGGCCATTCTGTATGGCCTGCATTTCTAGCAATAAAGAAATTATGCCAGCAGTTTTTATTGTAACTGTGTCTGATGGAAGTCTTCCTAAAATATGTCCTTTGTCCACCTCCTTAAATAGTCGCTGGTATGATATAACCTTCTCTGGGTGACTCGGGCCATCCTTGTGTAAGTTGATTATCATCTGCTGCTGTGGTGCAAGGCAGGCCTCGTGGGGGTCAGAGGGGTGTTTCTCCTACACTAGATAGCCCCAACTACAGGGGTTTTTTGAACTTACACATACTTTAAAAAATCACTTTCTGTCTTCGTCCTCGTGAATAGACTGTCACTTGTCACTTCTCGAAGTTATTCTGGTGCCTGCCCAAGTAGCTCTTGGCTTCTCCCAACCCCACTCCTCCTCTACTTCCAGTTTGCTATTTCTAAACTGCACGAGCTTGGCAACTGTACTATTAGAATTTGTGGAAACTAACAGTTATCAGGTACTTAGTGATAACCTGAGATTATCACTAACGGGTAAAGCTCATGAATGTGAGTGCACAGTCTACATGACGTCTGTTTTGTCCGATAGGGTGCCTTTTTGGCTATTTCTGGGTTCTCAGCTGTGCTATAAAAGGATGAGGTGCCACTGTAAATACACAATCTTTTATTCATTCAAAAATGATCAGATCCTTCCCTGGAAGGGGACATGAAGGCAGTTGATTTGTGAAGATGGTAAGATTGGAGGCACTATCTTTTTAATTTCTGATTTGGGTGAGGGAAAAAATTTTATTTTAATCAAATCGAATTAAAATAATATATATTTTTAGGGTTAGAAAAACAAATTGAATGTTTCACCTTAAGATTTGTTGTTGTACACAGTGCTGGAGGGTTCTGAGCAGCCGGGGCTGGGGGCAAGGAGGGGGAGCTGGGGTGGAAGTGGGAGGCGAATGGGGTGCTGGTCTGCTGAGGGCCCTCGTTCGTGACACCAATAGCTGCCAGTCAGCGAGCACCCAGTCCTGCTGGCCCAAAAGGGCACTTCGCACATACTATCTTGTTCTCATGTGATACCACACCCCTAGGAGCCAGGAGGGGTAACACTGGCTGCAGAGATCAGCTTTGAGGGAAGCAGCTTGAACCAAGGACCGTCCACTCCCAGACCCCATGCTCCTTGGCCCCTGGTGGGGAAGAGCTTTGGTACAGTGTGTGTGCAGGGTACAGGGAGGTTCAGATGATAGGTGCAGTGGTTCCTGGGTTCCAGCACCTGGCAGCTTGCCTGTGTGCCTTGTGTGAGGCCTGATTACAGAGACTGAAAGTTCCCAGTCTTCCTACTGGGGGTTGTTGTCTAGGCCCAGTGCTTTTAGAGTCCCATGGCTCAAGCCACTTGGGGTGGAGGAGACTGTGGTGGCCTCCTGGGGCTACTGGTGTCCTCCCCTCACCAGAAAAGTGCTTGTCCTAAGGACAGGTGGTGGGATGCGTAAGGGTCGTGTGAAACTGTCAGAGACAGAGAGACGCAGAGGAGGGAATGATAATGTCCTCTGCCTGGGAGTCAGGAGGCCTGGGTTCAGACTCAGCTTGGCCACTGGCCCCTGGCTGCTGACCTTAGGCCAGCCTTCTGCCTTCTGGGTCTTGGGCTGCCAGTCATGAGATGAGAGAGTTGGAGACAGCCTCTTGCTCTCTAAATCTGTGGTTTGTGAGAACCTCAATGTCCACACCTGTGATGCCTGCAGACACCAGCCCATCTCAGCCATTTCTCGGATTTTCTAAAACCTGCAGGTTTCGTTCCCACCTAGAACTCACCAAGCTTTCCATTCAAGGTTTCTCTGACCAAAAAAAATCTTCTGCATTTGTAGCCCCTTTTCTTTGGTCATGAAAGTCATATACATCTCTTAAAGACCATCTGTAAAATTAAAAAAAAGAAAGTGTAAAAGAGAGAAATGTAAAATCACCCTTAATTCTACCACATTTTGATATTTCCTTCTAGTCATTTAAAACCCACATTCGTGTAATTCAGGATATGCTGTTTTGTAACTTGCTTCCCCCACTCCTGCCACCACATAGTGAATTTTTCTTAATTATACCAAGTAAATTAGATGTGAGGAGGAGGCGCTGGCCGGGAGCAGACAGACCTTCAACAGCCTGCATCAGCTGCTTCACTTCCGTCGAGGCCTCTGGAAACGGCCCTGCCCATAGGTTCAGAGTCCTGGTCTGATGGGGAAGCTGTGGCAGAGGGCGCCGTGGTGGGGACTGCAGCTGCTCCTGGATCCGGGATGATGTTGTTGGGGCCAGCAGCCCCCTGAGGGAGGGGGCTCCTTGTCTGAGAGTTTGGGGCAGATGACTGGGAGAGCTAGTTGTGGAGCAGCTGGCCACCTCAGGACTTAGCAGCCTGTGGACCATGGCACACAGCGCCATAGCCTGCTGAGGGAGCTATTCATATATAGTCTTCACCATGCATGGCATCTCCTGGAATTGTGAAATCCCAATGTTGGGCCCAAGCCCCAGGGACTGCCTGTGTCACCACTCTGAGTTTATAGGAGCCCTGGGCCCAGGGAAATGACTGTGTACATTTCATGGGGTGAGGTTATTTTCGCTGTGTTTCCATCCCATGGCATTTGGACCTTGGGAAGGAGAGATGGTAGGGGCTGGGCTGGAGCAAGGAGACCAGAGACAGCCCTTCGAGAGTCACTGCTTCTCAGCCTCCTTGGCTGGGTAGGGGCTGCCTCCCAAGAAGGACGGCCCCTTCGTCTGCCCTCAGTCCTCAACCCCAGAGTCTCTCCCTCCTTCTGAGTAGGAAGTCATCATGTGATTTATAGTCTCTCTTTCCCAAGAGATGATCTTTCACTTTCTTTGTCTGAGCTGCACTTGCTGTCCCCAGCACAGTCCTCAAGGACATCTGGAAGTGTTTAGACAATCTGTGGCCATCAGGCAGCAGCCCCACGGACTGGCTGAGAAGGATGGGTTTGGCCTGGTTAGTGGCCCAGAGGCTGCAGGGATGGCATGTACTTTGATATCCTGAGAAGGTAGCTCACTTTTCTCATCCCAGACCCACACACTTTACTTACTTTCCCCTCCATCTCCTGCCATCCCATCGCACTGGAGGGATCAGCACACCTGCACATCCTTTGAGCTTCTTGGGGACCCCTGGCCAGTCTGTTTTGGCGGCTGGTCCTCATGTGCAGGTGTTCTGGGTGGCCCCTAAGCCCCTGGAGGAGCAGATGGGAAGCATGTTGGCCCCTGCCCAAGGCTGGATCAGCCCAGTGTGCTCACAGTGTTTGTTCTGGTTTTTCAAGTCCACTTTGGCCACCTCATTCCAGGAAGGAGGGGAACCTCAAAATGCCCGTCTCACAGCCCCATGAGTCTCTGTTGGTAGCACAGAGTTGAAGTTTGAACAAATACTTACTTCTCAGATGGAGATTTTGGGGACAGACCACGGAGATGAGTCTCCTGGCAGCAGACCTCAGCCTGCTGTCCTGAGTGGGTAAAGGGGAGCGAAGGAGCAGGGCGAGGCCCTTCCACGGATGTGACCGGGTGGCTCTGCCTTGATGGCCCGGGACCACCATGGGGTCAGGAGGAAGGTGCTTCACCCACACCCCCACCGTTCAACCTGGCCCTCGGCCCTTACTCCATGGCTCCTCCGAATCCCCTGTAGTTGCTTTTTAATCCTCCTTTGGGACTCAGCCCCTCTGATCAGTTAAGGAAAGCTATTAACCCTCCCTGCAGGAAATGCACCTCTGCACCTTGGAGACCATTTTAGGGGGACCTGGACTCACGAAGGCCACCTGTTCATGCCTCAGGTAGAGCCCCTGCTGACCGGATCTCATGCCTCCACAGCCATCCCACTGGTGTGCACAGGAGGGAAACGGACTGGAACATGCAGGGAGGAACTAGGGGGAGGAAAAAGAACGGCCCTGAGTTGGGGGTACAAGTGGCTTCTGAAGGATGCTCTGCTTCCTGCCGCAGTCACAGCCTTCAGGGACGACCAGATCCCTCTTCCTTCCCCCTTTTTCCACAAGCAGCACAAAAAGTCAGGCCTGGCTGCGAGCTCTGTCTCCCAGGAAAGAATAGTAGGGGACAGCTCTATCCAAGCTGATGGCTCAGTGTCTGTCTGACTTCCCAGCCTGCACCTGCAGCTGTACTCTTGATGTCCCAGGGATTGGCAGCCACCCATCACCTAGGGTCACCTGCACTGTCCTAGTGTCCAGCCATGTGCAGGGCCACACCCAGGCCCTTCCTGTGGCTCTGCCCCCATTGTAACCCCCACCTGCTCTTGAGGAAAAAGGAGACTTTGCATCTCGCTATACAGCCTGGCTCCCCAGCAAGCTCTGCACCCTTTGTTTCTTGTAGGTACAGCTCTGAGGCCTGCTTGGACATCTGTGTGCTCTTTGTTAAATTAGATTATGGTCATATTCACTTCACTCTGGAGTTTATATCCTGCTCAGATCCCTGGACGGAGAAGCACTTATTCTGGGAGAGTTGACTGACCCTGTGGTCAGCGAGGGGGAAAGTTGTAGGTTTTTCTAACCTCAGGGTGAGTGTCTCTCTCATCTGCTTGTCACATGCCTCTCTTCACGCGGTGCTCTGCTGGGGGCATCACCAAGGGCAAGAAACAGATGTGGGCTGGGTGGGACAGGCGTTCCTGGCTGTCATGTGTGTGGTTGGGGGGGGGTGTTGGGGATGGGGTGAGGGTTTAGTGGAAACTCTCCATGTGCAAATGGACCCTACTGGTATTGAACAAAAGGGAGTGAAAGAAGTAGGGACAGGACTACACATTGTAGCCCAGAGAAAACTCTTTAAGCTGTGTTTCTAACTCTTCTGAACCAGTTCCCCTCCTGGCCAGCATTCCTCCCAGGATCTTCTAATGAGGTTTGTGGGTTTTTTCATATCCTCCTCCCCAGGGTGGCCTACGGGAGCCCTCACTACTGTCTCTCTCTCTAGCTCCCAGTCCTGTGTCACCATCAAGCCCTCACTGTTTGCAGGTGATCTCCCTGCCTCACTGAGAACCCTCAGCCTCTGTCCCTTCTGGTCTCATCCGGCCTCTCAGAACCAGCCCAGACCTTCTCCTGCCCAGGGTGTTCCCTCCACTGTCTGGGCCTCCATTCTGTCCCTTGAGGCCACCTCCCTCCCTCTGTCACTCTTGGCCTTCATTCAGCCTCCCTTCTCTGCTCTCCCTCAGATGCTGAGCGTGGACACAGCTTCTTCTGCATACAAGCCCATCCTCATCCTCTCCCAGGCCTGCCTCCATCTGCCATGTTCTCCATCACTCTCATCACCACCAGCCCCGAGACAGGGTAGTTCTCAGCTTGCATGTCTCCCTCAACTCACCAGTTCCGCCCACACTGGAAGCAGTCCTTGCCATGCACATCGGGGTCGCCTGGCTGCCACCTGGCCGAGCATCCTCAGCCTCTGCTCTTCCACCTCCCATCAGCCTGGCACCGCCTCCTTCCTGACACTCTCTCTCCTGGTTCTCCTCTCTGGCTGCTCAGTTCTGTCTCTTGTCTTGGCCTCTGGTCTAGTCCTTCCTCTGTAAGCATTTAGGTGTTGTCCAGGACTCCACACTGGGCTCTCTGCTGACTGACCTTGCCTGCCTCTGTGGGTCTGTTAACTGCCCCTCACATCTATCCCTCTGGTGCAGACCCTCTGTAGGTCCACTCGCAGATTTCCAGCTGTCCCTCATTCCTGGGATGTCTGACCCTCAGGCACTGCAAGCCCAGTGTGTGTACTGCCTCGCTCATCCACCCCACTGTCCCTACCATCGCTGGCTTCTCCTCCAGCTCTCTGGTCTCTCTTGCTTTCCGGCACCACCATGCCCCTGCTGCCCAGTTAGAAACTGGGAGTCATCCTTGACAATGCCCTCTCCTTGCCTCCCACTTTCACCCAGTCACCTAGTGCTGATGGTTTTGACCCTGAAACATCCTCTTCACCCGCCACATGCCCCACCAAACTGCTCCGCTTAGCCCATCACCATCTCATTCACACCACTGCAACAGCCTTTTAACTGGACTCCCTGACTCGGCCGTCTCCCTCTCTGGTGCACCTGCCCTGCAGCTGTAATGCTACGTTTCCATAACTCAGGTCTGAGCGTATGTTCCTCTGCTCCAGATGCCTTAGATTCCTGCACAGCTGCCTCTCCAGGCTTCCTTGGAATGCTTTCTCCCTGCTGCTCCCCACTCTGCCACTGTTCATCTGCATTTCAGAGCCCAAGTTAAATATCACCTCCTCCAGGAAGCCTTCCTGGGCCCTGCCCCAACAGCCAGGGATGAGGGGTTTCCTTCCTTCCTCAGGACCCCTCTGTGAACACACTCACCCAGCTGTTGTGCCCTCCTGGGTTTGTCTTCCCCCTAGACTGCATCTCAAAAGCTGAGACAGCCCTTATTTATTGTTACTTGCTCTAACAGAGTACCTGGCCTGTCATTGGCCTCAGTACATGTTTTTGTTTAATTAATGTTGTATGAGGATAAATTCTTTCTTGCATCTGCTAATGGACCTTTTTAAGGGAGGTGATTATGTCACTTGATTTGTCTGTCCCGTGTTTATGACCGGGCTGGGCCAAGATGAATGCCCTCCTCTTCAGGAGCTAGGCTTCTCTCTCCAGGCTATTGGGTTTACATATTGTTATTACTCTCCCCTCATGTGGTTTACCCCCAGCCTCTTGCAGTGCCGGGCACATCCCAGGCAAATTAATATCTACTCCCAGACTGATGAATTTGGCCAAACTGATTTCATTCCCTGGCCAGCTTCTGCCAACCCCTGGCATTTTCTGAGAATGTAGAAAAGGCTCAGAATCTAGGCTTATTTAAATGACACTGCAATATCACATGGACTCAAACATCACCAAGGAGGTAAATGTATTGCAAAATATTACCTAATACATTTGAGAGCCTGATTTCAGTGATTTTCAGGTTGTTTGGGGGACAGCTCACAACCCATAAGCAGAAACAACTACTTCTGTATTTATACATATGTGTGTGTGTCTCCAGCCCAATTTTCTAGGTTTTATATATATATTGTTTTTGTGTGTTCTGGTTCCATTGACTATAGAACCTAGCCTTCAACCTGGTTGATGTTCAGTCAATTTTTATTGAATGACTGACTGAATGAGCCAAAGGACAGGCTAGAGCATGCAGGAGTACCTGTTTCTCCTCCTGA